CACGAAGTGTGGCGCGAAGGATTTCCTGAGTTGCATCCCCAATTGGTAACATTGCCGAGAGTGCTCCGCGACTCATGTCACGTCAACCAATTCGAGGGTGACCCCTGTTTCGCGGGCCAATCCCTTTTTCCAGCACGATTGCCCTTTGCCGCTCAAATCGACCCCCTCCGTCACATCTTCCGCCGTCGACCGGTAGCCGAACTTTGACAGATCGGCAACCGCTGACGTTGATGGACCGGAGGCGGAAGCCGCATAAAGGCGTGGGCGCGCGGAAACCGAGAGGATCAGAGTAGGCGCGCGAGGGGTATGGGCGCAGCGATAGTGTCGCATGGAACTTCCGTGATGGTGACCAAAGACGATAAGTTTGTGACGGGAGAGAGAGGACCCACGAGAGACGCATGCTCTGAACTGAACTAGACGGAGTACGCTCGCTGCTGGGGTGGTGGCGCGGCGACGAGATTCGCTATTCGATAATGCCGCGACTCGCTAAAATGGAGTGCTAACACGAAGCTAACTTCCACCGGATGACATGCATCGGGGAATTCAATGTTGTCTGTCCCCGTACCCCCTAGTCATCACAACCACACCCCCGCCAGCAGAACCAGCACATCGAAAATCTGGAGGCGGCTACGGAGGGGTGCGTGCATGTGCGTGTGCAGAACTGGCTGGGGGAAAATTAGTGGTGCGTGGCGAAATGGTTTTGAGGCGCCTCAAGAATCGTGGCAGGGCGGTACTTCACACAAGCCATCATGCAGCAACAGCTCTTGCTCTCAATGCCAACGTACAGCACACACGCGTACTTTCAGAATTACTTATGACGCAGTATTATGCGCTCGCCTCCTCATTCCTCCCCCTCCCTCCCCATCCCACCTCACCTCTTTGCTCCCATATCCCACCCCCACCAGGAGGACGGCTTCCGGCCTGGGCTGGTGGGAGGGCTGCTGGCGCGCGAGCGAGTGCTGGCGATAGTGGCAGGGCGGTACTTCACACTCGCCATCTCGCAGCACGGCCGCCTCTTCACCTGGGGCATCCCCCCAGCATCCAGCCCCCACCCACCCGCCATGTTCACGTCAACCACGCGGCGCCAGCACGCGGCGGGGCAGGCACCGCGGGCTGTTGACTCTCAACTCGGCATTCCACGCGTCCGTCCCCTCGGGCGCCTCGTCATCCGCCGCCTTTCCTTCCGCATTTCCTCCCAGCCTTCCCGCGGGTCCCCTCCTACGTGTCGCTCTGGCGGAAGCGCAGGGCGGGGGGGGAATACTTACGCAGACGAGTTCGCGCTGGCGATGTGCGTGGGGGGCGTGCTGCGGCGCGTGGGGGGTGGCGACGGTGGCTGCGAGCGGGGCACACCCTGGCAGTGACTCCGGGGGCGTGGTGCTGTTGTGGGGACGCGACTGGGATGCGCGCAGGCGCCCCGCGGGGCTGCTAGGGCGCGCGGACGGCGCGTTTTGGCGGCTTGCGCCGGTGGAGGGCTGACGGGGGAGGTGCAGGTGGTGGCGGTGGCGACTGGGAAGTATCACTCCGTTGCTATGATGGAGAGTGGTAGGGTGTTCACATGGGGGCTCAACAACAGGGGCCAGCTGGGCCGGCCAAATCAAGAGCAAGGTGCGACGGGCTGTCGGGGAGAAGGGGAGGTGTGGAAGGGAGGCGGTGGTGGAGAGGACAGGGTGGGAGGGAGAGAGAGGAGGCTGAGGAGGGTGGGAAGGTGGTGGGAGAGGGAGGCGAGCGGGAGTGTGTAGGAACGGGTTCATGCAGGGTTGTGAGGAGTTGTCTGGCTCAAAGTGGCCAACCATTGTAGCGCATGTTGGTTGTGCATCCCTCGTCACTGTTCCAACCCTTTTTTACTCCTCTCAACCCTACCCTGAACACCCAACGGCTTTCTACCCTCTTCGAACGGTCCTTTGTATTAATTCGGTGATTGTTACAAGCAGTACGGTCACCGGAGAGCAGAAGGCTGAACATGCAAATATACCTCTCTACATCTACCCGCCCCCTAGCACCTCCCCTTACTCCAGGGTGTGGAGGAGGTCCCCTAGCTGCAGGGGCCAGGGGTCCGCCGGAGCCTGCGGGTGTGCCGCTTCAATGCCCGCTCGCGCCTTTGCGTGTAAGGCGTTCGCTTGGCTGCGTTGGAGCATGACTGCCCAGCGCTGCCGGAAGTGGGCTGCCACCTTCTTCGCCGTCTTGGCCAGGGGGTTGGCGCGGAGGAAACGGTTCCGGGCCGCTGCGGTCGAGAGCAGCTTGAGGAAGGCCGCGGTGGACGGGGCTTGGGCTCCATAGGTCTCCACTGCCAGGGCGAAAAAGCCCACGTGCTCAGTGTGGCGGTAGTACTCGCTGTCCTTGCGCCGAGCGGCCTCCCGTGCTGCCCATCCTGGTGGTTTTCGGGCTGTAGGGTCCCTATTCAGAAGCACGGGGTCAGTGATGGTAACATCGGTGATCCAGGTTTCACCCGATTCCGGATCCCGGACGATGACGTCCGCCTTCTTGGGGTCATCGGGCGGTGAGTACATGGCATTTTCCAAATACACCACCAACTGCGCCTCCCGAGCCATTTTGGCGAGTGCAAACGCCAGTTGGTTGTGGGTGCGGATCCTGTCTGGTCCTTCGCTGCAGCGGAGAACGGTGGTTAGGGAGGCACCAGTCAGGGACGAGTTCTCCACAGGAGCATACAGTCGGCACGTTCATCCTGAGGCCCAGGCGGAAAGCCAGGGCCGTCCCAAATTGTCCTGGTGAGAAAGTGAGGTCCGGTGTGAAGGGGATCGCTTGCAGCCACTCCCCTGCCCCCTCCCCCCTCAGGCTGATGAGTCGCAGGGCGTGGCCCAGCTCCGGGGAAGATTCAACCGTGCGGAAGTCCGCCAGGAGCGCATCCGCCCTGCTTGCTTGGACCTCGTCTGATAAAATGCTCTGGAGGTGATTGCAGCTGCGGCTGGAGCGTTCCTCCATCAGGATAGCACGGGCTTTCTCCGGCAGTCGGGCCTCGAGGTCAAAGATGGTGTTCGGAGGCGATGTGGTTGGGAGCAGCAGGTCGGCAGCATGGGCAAGTTGAGGCAGGTTGAGAGACAGCAGGAGATGGCGAATCTCTGTCGTTGAGGCCAGGTAGGCTGGGCCGGATTCGGAGGTGGGGTCAGTGAGGCCAAGTCCCCCGAGGCTCACGGGCAGGGAGGCCTGCCTGCAGAGGAGGTCGGGAGGAGCGTCGTGGGGGGTACTGTCTAGCCGATGCCAGGGCAGTAAACAGCAGTTGCTTGCCCCACTCCGCCCATTCCGGTAGCGGTAGAGAGTCTACGGGTGTCGTGCGTAGCAGGAAGGTGATGCGTTTGCTGACGCAACGGGAGAGGAGCAGGAGGGTATGCTATGGGTGAAGGCGCGTGAGGGGTCGGAGCGGGGAGGTGGAGTCCAGAAGCGTGGCCCTGATCTTGTCGGCACAGAAGGGGCGTGTGCCGATTGGGGCTCCCAAGCACCCACTATGCTGCCGTCTGTTAGGGTCAGGCCTGGTGGCAGGGAGACGCTAGCTGGCGGTTCGGGGGACCAGGCGCCTGATTTGTCCAAGTTGCATTGAAGGCCATTTCGGCCGAGGACGCTCGGTAAGGTCGATGAAGGCCGCCGAAGCCACCGCGGGTGGGCCCAAGAGCGTGACATCATCCGCGTAGGCCAGCACTGTCAGGCTGGGGAACGCCGCGGCTGTGTCGCGGAGATGGCCCTGAATGGCAGCCGCGAAGAGTAGGGGGCCCAGGGGGTCCCCTTGGCGGACCCCTCTGCTGCTGATCAGAGGCGGTGAAGCAAATTCTGCGCCGAGGAGCAGCTTCGTCGGTGTTGCATACAGCGAACGAGTGAGTGGAATGAGCGGGGCGAGGGGGTATCTCTTAGGGCGTTGAAGAAAGACTCGCGCTCGATGGTGTTAAACGGATTTTCCACGTCGAGCTGGATGACTAGGTCGTTCGAGTGGGCTGCTGCTTGGCAACGGACGGCGTGGATAACGGCCTCTAAGCCGCCTGGCACCGCTACGCCGAACTGGGTGGGGAGGAAGAACCCGTTGAATATCTCCTTGTAGCTCCGCCAAAACTGCCTTGGCCGCTATGCGCAATATGGTTTCGCCGATGCCAATGGGCCTGAACCCTCCCTCTGGTTTGCTAAACGCAATCAGTCGAGTGGGCTTAGCACGGCTATGATTTCCGGAGTGACGTGGGGAGAGAGCAGGTGCTGGACAGCCTTGTGCGGGTGGGCGAGGACTTCGATGGTGCTCGAAGGTAGTACCTGATGGCCCAGCTCCCACCCCGTTAGGACAGTCGTTGAGGGTGCGCTCAATTTTTTCGAGAGGGAGTTCGAAAGTTGTTGCAGGGGTGTAGGAGTGTACCCATTCAGGGATCGGTGTAGTTGAGGTTGGGTGTTTCGCCTTTAGCGAGGCCAAAGTTTCCTCCGTCGGTGGCGAATTTGGCGAAGGTTGTAATGCTGCGAGCGCTTTTCGCAAGTTCCCTCGTTTCACTAAGCCCTCCGCCCTGCTGGTAACCCCGGTTGGATCCTCGGTGTACTGTGGTGGTGCACCTCGTGTGCCAGGTGCCAGACAATCTTCATAGGTTATGGGAAGGTGAGGCTCGCGTCAACCCAGGGACAACGAATTTTGACCTTGGGTTGACTGCTCCGCGGGAAACCTGCGCCATGGGGGAGCTGGCGCAGATTGGAGGGGGGGGATACGAAAAAACGCTGCAGGAGAGAGGCACATTTGGCCTCGAATGTGCTTGCCCCAGGGCACTGTAGCGGGAACAGAAAGTTTCGCCAGAAAAAACAAAAGATTTTGCACCCCATGCTGTTGGGGAAATCCAACTTTCAAAGAAAGAACAATTTGTTTTTTAATGTAGTAACCCTTTCCTTTGTAGGGTCCAATGTTGGCCCGTGAACAGTGAACCCAGGTGGAATCAGAAAATTGATTCTTCCGTTTTCAAAGAATCACTTTCTTCTTCCGTCTCTCTAGGGCGCAAGCTTTCCGCCAAGGGGGGAGAATAAGGACAGAAGTCGGCGCGGAAGCAATGTTTGGTGGGGTTCGACTCGCTGCTGTTAAACACCTGCGCTTCGATTTCCGGAAATTTAACCCTACAGCCCGCACTGTTTTGCCCTCGATAATGCGATTAGAAGCTTCTTAGAAAGCGGAAACATTTTTCTTCCGTCCTTCCGTGGCTGCCGAACTGGGCCCTGAAGTCATGCATCTGGGCCCGCAGGACCTTTCACCTGATTTTTTCGCCCACTCGTCAAATATTTCGTTTTCGTTACCCAATCACAGTCGGGCAAACCCAACCAAGTGTAAAACGGTTGGAAATATGAGACGCGAGCCCCAAGGCGTAGTGTAAGTCGTGGCAGAAACAGCAACACCCTCCATGCCCCCACGCAATTAGGGGATGTTGAGATTCTCATTAGCGCCGCCAGTAGGCAGGTGGCAAAGTCGCTGAGCACCTGTGGTGGGAGTCGTCGGACGATCGGCTGCTGGAGCGATGAGGTGAGCTCCGTGATGTCCCAGTCAGACGCAATCGCGAATAGGTCATCCCGTTTTGCCAGGTCGTTTGGTGACAAGGCTTGGTCTGGTGGTAGCCTCGTTGTTCGCTGGCGACGGACTGAGCCTCCTCTAGTCCGACGTGTCTGGGTAGGGTTCGCCGCGGGCATGGCCTGGGACTCCGGTGATGGGGGGTTTGCGTGATTTTCGGGCCTATAACTTGCGTCGCTTCCCTCGTCCATATCAGGCGCTTGCCTTCCCCCCAGTCCCCTTCCGCTTTCCCAAGCCCCGCCGTTGGCCCGCGCCAGGGCGGTTGCCTGTCGTGTGACTCGCAGGTTCTCTGAGCCACGTGGGGCTCATCGCTCCGCCCCCGTTTCCCCCTGCCTGCGCTGACTGCCTGCCGCTTCCCCTGCCTCGTCTCCCCCCGCGCGCGCCTCACCCCCGCGTGCTCCCACGCGCGCTTTGAGGCTGTACGAGCGTTCTCCCCGCCGGCGGTCCTGGTGTCACTGGCGGATCGTCTCCCGGCCATACAACTTCTTCCCACGATGGAATCAGGGCTCGCGGAAGCGGAGGAGCGCCGATCTCCTCGAGCTCGTTCTCCGGCGCGCGAGGCGTGAGTGGAGAGCGCGCCGCATCATGAGCCCCTCGGGGTGGCTGGCGTGCCTCCACGCTCGGATCTTGGTTTGGCTCCCGAACAGGATCACGCGTCGGGGATAACTCGCTCCTCTCCCGTTGTCCCTGTGGCTCCCGAGGCTCCCTTGGCTGATGGGGGTCAGGTCGCCGCGGCAGCTCCATCGGCTCCCTCAGGCCGTGGCATCGACTGTGCGACCGTGACTGCTACGTGACTTCCCCACGGCTCACGAGGGTGGTCACCGGTCGTCTCGCCGCCTCGTGGTGGCGTCAATGCAGGCACGCAACCGCGCGGATCCTGGGCCGCCGACGGTGACAACCGCCAAGGTGAGCTTGGGGCAGCTGTGGCTTCTGGCTGAGTGTCAGCCAATGGTGCAGCTGATTCTGGAGAAGGCGCAGGTCCTTCTTCAGGGGAGCCCATCGGGCACATACGTTGATCGGGCGGGAGAAGCATGCCTCCAGCATGCAGCGGAGATCGCTGCCTTGGTGGGGCCTGTGTTGGACGCGCCCGCCCGGGGAGGAGCTGTTGCCTCTACCCTCTTCCTGTTCCCACCCACCTCTTGCACACTTTCCGATTCACACAACAGCTCGCTGCGTGCAAGCCCACACTCTTGCAGACGGAAATGAATCACAGAAACACTATATCGCCTCCTCATCCCTCTCCCTCCCACCTGTTCCCCTCCCTTCCGCGGCCCGCCCCATCCCACCCCATCACTTCCCTCCTACATCCGTCCCACCCCGTTCGCACATCCTATCCTACCCGATCCCACCCCATCCCACCCATCCCCGCATCTTATCCCACCCCCACCAGGAAGACGGTTTCCGGCCGGGGCGCGCGTGGGGGGACGGCCAGGGGCAGGTGCCGGCGAATAAGCCGGGAGTTGTGGGGAGCGGAGGAGGAGGAGGGGCGGGGGGAGGGGAGGGGGTGGTTGGGTTGGATTGGCAGACAGTGGAGCAGGTGTCGGCTGGGGAGGGGTTCGCTGTGGCGAGACTGAGCCACGGCGTGGTGTACTCGTGGTGAGTTGCGCAGTTCTGGCCCAGACAAGAGTACCTCCTGGTGAGAGGTTTGGTGTACCTGGAGGTTCTCGTGCTGTGCATCTCCGCTGCTGGTGGTGGCGGGGTGGGCAATGGGCGTAACCCCACTCCTTTCCCTCCTCACGACACTGCCTCATCAGCCAAGACCCATCCCCACCGTTCTCAACCCCCCCCCCATTCCAGCACCCCGTTCCCAACCCCCCCGTTCCCAACCCCTCCTGCCTTCCCTCCTCTCCCCAGGGGCGACAACCAGCACGGGCAACTGGGCCGCCCGGAGCCCTCCCGGGACGGCAGCCCTGCGCCAGTGCACGGGCTGGAGCACCTGGAGGTGCTGCTGGTGGTGGCGGACTGGTGGCGTCCTTCCCTTCCCCCCGCCTCCTCCTCTCCCCTTAGCACCCTCTCTCAACTGCCCCACCGTTGTCAGCCCCCTGTTCTTAACCGCCATTCCCGATCCACCTGCTGCCAACCCCCCTGGCCCTCCCTCCCTCTAGGGGCGACAACCAGCACGGGCAGCTAGGCCGCCCAGCGCCCCCTCAGGACGGCACCCCGGCGCTAGTGCACGGGCTGGAGCACCTGGAGGTGCTACTGGTGGTGGCGGGGTCGCAGCAGGGCCTGGTGCTGTGCCGCGCACTGCAGGGCTCTGAAGCCGCCCTGGATCCCCAGGAGTTTGACGACACACGTGTGCTCAATGAGGAGCGTGTGTCACCCGCAACACTGCCTGATCCCGATGCTTCTGCTCCTGCTGCTGTTCCTGTGCCTGGTGCTGCTGGTGCTGTTGTTGGTGCTGGTGGTGCTGGTGGTATGGGAGGAGGGTTGGGTGCAGCAGGGGAAGTGGCAGGGGCTGTGGCCGGGGGCGGGGGAGGAAGTGCGGGGGAGAATTGGGGGGAGCGAGTCGGGGGAGGGGCGTCAGCGGAGGAGCAGGGGGGCACGGGCGGCGAGGGGGCAGTGGCGCGGGACATGTGGATGAAGTTTGGGGAGGAGTTCAAGATGCTGCCCCGGCAGGGCATGGACAGCAGCATGCGGAATCCGTGCTGGCGCGTGCAGGCGGGGGGTGCGGCGGGGAGTGCGGGGAGTGGGGGCAATGAGGGAGCGGCAGGACCTGAGGTGCACTGCCTGCCCGTACTTCTTCATCATTGGTGCCACCAGGTGTGCCTCCACTTGCTTCTTTCCCTTTTCTTCTTCTCCATCTGCCATAGGCGATCTTCTTCATATCTTCTCTCCAACTGTTTTCCCTGTCGGCTCCTGCTCCTGCACTTGCCCCTGCTCTTGCTGCTGCACGTGTACCAGAATGTTCCCCGTCCCTCACTGCTCCTTCTTGCATTCGCCCCCGTACTTCCTACTCCCTCTCCTTTCCCCTTCCCCTCCCTGTGCACCATGCGTGTACCCTACCCACACACTCTCAGTGCCGCCATGCAAGAAGGATCTGTACCAGAAACCTCACCCCTCACCCATCACGCCCGCTCCATCTTGTTCTTCCCTTTCCCACCCCCCTTGTCTCGCACCCACTGCCTGCATGCATATCCCACCCACAATGCCGACACTGCCAGGGCGGGCACACAGGACCTGTACCGCAAGCTCACGTCCTCCATCACGCCTGCTCTGTCCTTCGCTTCCTCCCTGTCCCCCTGTCGCACATGCCTATCCCGCCCACCATCCCAGGGCGGGCACGCAGGACCTGTACCGCAAGCTCACCTCCTCCATCATCCCGGGCATATTCCCAGCCGCCATCCCCAACCCCCAGTGGTAGGAGGACCTGCCTTGCCTTCTCCCCAGCTCATGATGAGCACAATTCAACAATCCTTGTCAATCCTTATCCTCGCCCTAGTCAGTTCCTGTGCTGCCATGCCATCCCATCCCAGCAACAATCAATAATGCACAACGTTTATGACTCAATTCCCTCTAACAATCCTCTCCGCCCATCCACACACCACCCCCGTGCAGTTTCTTCTTCTTTGAATGCTTCCACCAACAGCTCAATCGCAGTCCTCTATCTCGTCCTCCCTTCTCTGCTTCCCTGCCTCTCGTCCTCTCCCCTCCTGCCACACAACAACCACCATCCTCATCTCCCCACAGCCACTCCCCTCCCTCCCCTCCTCTCGTCCTCCTCAACTCCAACCCTCTCATGAACCCCTGTTCTTTGTAGAACCTCTCAAGACACAACCTTTCAATCTCGTTGTGTAGCATACATTGGACGAATTCTGATGCGCCGTACCCTCCCCTTCCCCATCCTTAAGCATCCCAAACCTTTTAAACTAGGACCGCAACTTCCCGAGAGACACACACCCCCACCCATCACATCTCCCTGCTCGCCTCCACCCCTCCACTTCCCATCCCTTCCCCGCGGTTCCCCCCCCCCCCCCTCCCCTCTCCTGCCTCCATACCCCCGCTGCCCCATCCCCACCCTCCCTTGTGCAGGTGGGACCGCAATGGCGCACGGGACTTTGCGTGGTACGTGTCGCTCTTTGACGAGGCAGCGCAGCACATGGTGAACACGGGGGCAGCGCGGTGACAGGCGAGGCGTCCAGCACGCTGCTCACAAGCTCAGGCGTGGTGCTGCGAGGCCACGTGGACGACAGGCACACAGTGCCGCAGCTGCTGCACCTGGTGCTGCCCAGGAGCAAGTTCATTGTGATTCTCAGGAACCCCGTCGACCGGTTCTTCTCCGAGTTTAATCTCGCTGCCGCTGTCAACCCCTCGCCCTCTGTTCCCAGGGACTTTCATAAATACGTGAGTGCCCGCACTGCACTGCATCACACCGCATCACACTACATCATTCTGCACTGTTTGCCCCCGCTCTACCGTATCTCAATCCCTCCCCATCCCCTTCCCATCCCTCCACACACCCACTATGCAATTCGATCTCGCTTTCTCTATTCGCATCTCTCCCACAATGCGTTCTCACCCTCGAATGGTCCTTGTATATACATGGGGCTACAGTGCAATGGAAGGTGAGTACATGACAAGCAAAGCTACGCCCAGAACCGCCGTACACGAGCTCGCAAGCCGGCCCCAGGGCTTGCATCAAGCCCCCCCCCAAGTCAACGGGCTCATGAAGCACGTCAATGGGCTCCACCCGTGCCGGCCACCAAGGCGGTGTGGGACTTGGCGGTTAGGGCATTGTTGGCCTGACTCCTTAGCGTGTTGGAGGATGATTGATGGATGGACCACCGCTGGCGGTAGTGCTGGAAGGGCTGGCCGTTTTGCAGGAACCCGGCTCTCAAGAACCGGCCGGCTCTGCCCGGCTCGGCTTGGAGTTGTTTAGCCACAAGGGTGGCGCACCTGTAAAAGAACTTGAGCTTACCCGATGAAACGTACCCGTACGTCCCCACAGCCAATGCCTAGAACCCGACCCAGGCCGTCCGGTTGCAGTGGGATTTCTGTTCTTTGGGACGGGTAGCTTCTTGGCCACCCAACCAATGCTGTGGAAGGCCGTGGGGTCTTGCAGAGAGATTGGGTCTGTCACCGTCACATCATACAGGCACACGCCCCCCCGAGTTGGGTTGGCGCATGGCGAGATCCACCCTGAGCCCTTCAGCTCTTTGTGGACCGTGAGATCGGAGTCGGATGCGATCCTGGTCAATGCAAATGCGCATTTCATCGCGCACAGCATCATTGTGAGTGCCAGTCCTCCCTTCGCCGGTCCTGCAGCGGAGCAGATGGTTTGGGAGACGTGGGCCGAGTATCTCTGTTGCGTCGTTCCAGTCACATGCGGTGGGCACAAGGTGTGGCAGGCTCAAACAAAACACCACGGCCCAGGCGCACCAACACCGACGAAGAAGGGTGTGCGGGCGCTGGCTGTGTCCGAGCAGGGCGTTCAGCTCCATATTCCTGAGCGGGGGGGTTGCTCTCCTCCAGCAGCATAGAATCTTGCGGTCTGCACAGGTAGGCTCACACCCCACTGCGCGTTGAGCGATTCTAAGCCGTCTCAGAGTAGGTGAAGCGAGGAGGCAGGCTGTGGCGGTGGTTTCTGTCCGCTACAGCCGGGCGTCTTGGGAGAGCTGCTCGGCTGTTAGGGTTTGGGCTGAAGAGCGGGAAAAGAGCCGCGATGCTAGGGTGCAGTGAGCTGCTGGTGGCACTGAGTAAATGCGCTGTTGCGGTCGTTAACGCCAGGAAACTGCTCTGCGGCTGGGTATGAGAGGCCGAGCCCGCCCAGGGATGTTGGGAGGGAGGTCTGGCGCCAAGTGCGGGACTGAACCCCAGGGTGGCGATGCAGGGGGGTTGATGTGGCGTGGCACACCGATGTGGTAGGATGCTTTACCCCATTCCGACCATTCCTTCGCAGGTAGGGTGTTTGTTGGAGAAGTACAGAGCAAAAAGGACACGCGGCCGATGCAGAGGGAGAGAAGGAAGAGGAGGCAGATTTGGGGGTTGACCTAGGAGACGATTTCAGATGCTGATTTGGAACACGGAGGATTTCAGCATCTGATCGAGAGGCGCTGCTGGATGAACGCCACGCTGAAGGCTGTGGACCTCACAGGGCCGCCGAGAACAACACGCAAGCCACTGCTGCAGAGGGTGGCGCGGGTCGGCAGACAGAAGCAGGTTTGGTTGAGAGCTGGGCCACCATCCCTCGCATTTGGAGAGGTTGTGGGCAGAAGGCTGCTGGCCGAAGTCAAGGAGTCGAAAGCAGCAGAGCAGTCTTGGGGGGGGCAGCAGATCACTCACGGTGGAGCACTCACGGTGGAGTGAAGAAGCTCAAAGCAGTGGCTCGCCGCCTCCCGCCTGAGTGCCAGCCAGGATGACGACAGTAGGGTGGGAGGCGGCCACTGCTTTGAGCGCGGGGTGGATGGCGGCAGCGAACAGGAGAGGGGGCCCAGCCCACGGCATGGCATCCCCCTGGCGAACAAACACCTGTGGTGCTGATGAGGTGGGCGACGTTGAGTTGAACGCGGTGTCAAGGAAGTGTTGTCCAATCCAGTACGATACGACCCGTGAGTGGCTGCTGCTGTAGGACAATGCGGTGACGGGAATGAGGAACTCCCGGGGGCAATGACAAAGGCCCTTGAATACGCCCGCCCGCCCCCACTCTCGATGGCGTTCAAAGCGTTACTGACGTCGAGGTGGAGGGCGGGGTGTGTGTGTGGATGGATGGAAGGGGAGAACTCCTCAAGGTAGGTTCTGGAGGAGTGGATGATTGCTTCGACCCGCGCCCCTACAATACCCCCTTCGTACCGGATTGGGAGGAAGTGTGGGCACACGAAGGGAACACTGGGAAGCAGCGATCAGGAGGGCCGCTTTTGCAATGAGGTGATGGACGACCTTTCTCAAAAGCGCTTAGGCTTGGCCATAGGCGGAGGGCCATTGGTCTGGTGAAGGCTTTTGAGGTGCCTCAAAAGCGCTTAGGCTTGGCGAAGGCAAGGGTTGCCTCCGTGTGGTGAGCCTCCCTGCGAGTGCCATGTTCGCGAGGGCCAGAAGGTGTTAAGGGGGCGTCATGTAGGTGTTTGAAGCACATGGCAGTTGCCATGGCGCCGATGCTGTTCTTGCATCCGGAGAGGAGCAACCATATGTCTCAAAAGGAGATGACAGGTGAGCTTGGGGGCTGGTAGGTTACCTGTCATTTTGGAAGGAAGGGGATGGCGTTGGGGAGACGAGATTGGAGGGCCTCCAGAGTCTCACAGTTGGACGGGCTGACTGGGGTGCTCTCAAGGGCTTGCAAGGCCTTCGCCAGGCTGCCGTGCGTGGCAAGGGATGTCTGTGGCGGTCCGTAAGGGGAAGGTTGATTTCTGCACAGGCGTCAGTGTAGAGCTTGCCTGAATTGGGGTAACCGATTGGAGATGGTAGCCCAGTCCGGTGAGCAGGAGGAAGTGACTCTGAGTGTGAGGGGTGACCACCACTGCTGTTGCTGCTGGTGTTTTCGTGCGTCGAGCCTCCGTGTGCGATGGCAGGCTCGTGGACGCGAGGACGAGTGAGGTAGCCTTGCGCACGCCAACGCTGTCCCCCTCACCGGGTAGGCCCCACGGCTGCCCGGCGAGTGCTGTAGCCCTTCGCCTCGGCGGCCCTCAACATCTCCCTCGCTGTGGCCCATCTTGGAGGTGGGTCGCAGCCAGGCGCAGTCAACACGGTGGGATTCTCTCCGGCGCTCGTCTCCGCCACAAAAGGGGGCATCTTTGAGAGCCGGAGTCGGAAGGGGGGGCAGCTCTGGGAGCCAGAACAGGCGGGGGGAACAGCGTCGGCGCGCGCAGGGACGTAGGCAGCCATATTCGGACCCGCTATGGCAGCCGCCGAGGTGGCGGCGGTGGCGCCTGGGCACTCGCAAATATTCCTGCTGCTATTTGCACGTTGTGCCACCATATAAATGCTGTAAATGCTGGTGATGGCTGCGTGCCAGTGCTTCGTCTTGTTGATAAGACCGTGGTGTGGTTTTTGGAGAAGGCTGTACTTTTTGCTCTGTACTTCTCCACCAAACACTCTACCTGCGTGCCAGTGCTTCGTCTTCTTCCCCTTCCCCTTCCCCCTTCTCCACACCACCCCCCACGTTTCCCCTTCCATGCACCTTCCTCCACCGCCCCAGGCTCGAGATGCCACAGCGCGCATGAGTGCGTGTGTGGAGAAGGAAGCTGTTCAGAGACATGCCGGACCTGTGCGGATCATTCTATGCTTACTTCATCCAAGTGTGTTGTGAGGTGACAGGTGTGTTGTGAGGCGACAGGTGTGTTGTGAGGTGACAGATATGCACTGAGGCCCCCATTCCTAGCTGCACTCCCTGCCCCCTTCCTTTTGCCTAGCTCCTCGTCCTCCTCCTCCTCCTCCTCCTCCTCCTCCTCCTCCTCCTCCTCCTCCTCTTCCTCCTCCTCCTCCTCCTCCTCCTCCTCCTCTTCCTCCTCCTCCTCCACCCACCCACAGTGCTAGTGGAGGGGGACCAGGTGGGACTTTTCTCTGCACTTCGTCCCTCTCACCCACCCCACCATCCTCGAGCAAGCCACCCTCCACCTCCGCTCCCCCCACTCCCTCTTAGCAGTGGGGAAGCAGGTTTGAATGATCAACCTGGAGATTCTTTTTGATTCCTCCCTTTTCATTGCTCCCATTCCACCCTCGTTGATACAGCCACTTTCCAACCTTCCCCCTCCTCCTTTCTCCTCTCCCTCTCCCCTCCCCTTTCACCCTTCTCCGACCTCCCTCTCCCCCACCCAACACCTTTCATTTCCCCCCCTCTCTATGCTACTCCCCTCCCCACTTCGTGACTGGTTCCTCTGATTCCACCCACAGGCCTTCGTCTCCCTCCACTTCAGACACTGCATGGCCAAACCACACACCAAGCCATTCCACTCCCTGCTATCCCTCTTCACCCCCTCCTCCCCCACCTCCCCTCACTTCCCCCTTCCCCTTTCCTCACTCTCTCCCCCGTCCCCCCCACTGTCAGGACTGATTCCACTCCTTCCACCCACAGGCCTTCTCTTTCTCCAGTTGAGGACTACATGGCCAACCCACACCGAGCCACACCACCAGCCCCTCTCAACACACCCCAGTCCCCTTCATCCACTCCCACCCCCCCGTCCCCTCCCCTTTTCAGGGTAGTTTTAGGCCAACCCTGTTTCAGTTACTATTTTGTGAGCTAAGTTATTTACAATGACATAATAAAGTAGCACTCACAAAGTCGATGAGCTCTGGAAGAGCATCACATTCACAACATTCCTACTTAGTGCCACCCCCACTGCCTACTACTTCTACAAACTGGGTGTCGCCTCATTGGGTGAAACAACCAATGAGGCGACATGGCGTGTCGCCGACAACGACTCTTGGTTTTATGCCTGTGGTAAGAAGCGACAACGCTTGTTTGTGTGGGTGTGGTTCAGTTCGTCACCAAGCGGAGTATGGCCTGATCCGCGGTAAAAAAGTTTCGGTATCATGGTAGTCTACACCCTACCCTGATACTGTCAGGCTAACCATATATCCTATCAGGGTAAAAAAAAAACATGCTCTTTTTGCATAAGGGTAACTTTCGTGGAATCCTGATTTTGGCAGGGTAATCCTGAAAAAGCGGCCTGCCCCCAGGGTAATCAGGGCGTTTTACCCTGATATTTTGGGCCCTGAACTTGGCCAACACATAGAGCCAGTATGGCAGCACATTCTGACTAGACGTGCAGCAAGTGACCCAAGAGTGAAGGGGACTGGATTTGGAACTCGCCCGCTAAGGTGAAATTTGTTACAGTGATAGGGGTGCACTTTTAACAAATCACGTTTTTATAGGGGGTGCGCTTATATTTGAGAACTGAATATAACTGCAATGCTCCAAGGTCTGTACTTCGTAGTGTCAGCCCTGGCGTGGAGGGTTGCACATGATTCAGGTGGAAACAAGGATTTCCCTCCACTAAGCCAAGACAAGTCAAGCCGTCCTATAGTGTAAAAAGTCAAGCCGTCCTATAGTGTAAAAAAAAAGGTGTAAAAATGAGCAAGTAACGATAAGTATCACAAACAACAGGGCAGTCCCTTGGGCCCCCCAAAGCAATCAGGAGGCTGGAATGATGCATATAATGCAACAATGTCACATATGAACCACGATAACCCCATCCCAATCCTAGACTGGGTGTTCAGAGATGAAGCTGCCCCTATCCGCAATCATTTGAAGTTGTGCCTCTAGGCTGTCCTCACCCGCAACAGCATCCTTCATCTCCTGGACCTGCGCATCCACCTTGATGGCAGCGCCAGATTCCTCTTTCCCCAACACCTCCTCCCTGTCAGCCTGCAGCTGGGTGGCAATGTGCGCCATGCTTGGGCGGCTTGCAGTGCGCTCCACGGTGCAGCTCACTGCCAGCTCAGCCAAGCGCTGCACAACATCCCCAGGGGCGTCCATGGTGGGGTGCTTGAGGCTTTCTAAACCACCCGATGACAGGCACTCGGATACCTGAGAGAGTGGAACAGGATGGACCAAATTGCAAGTTTGTAAAGGTGAAATACACATCAGTCAGCCTATGAAGAAGAATATATCACTTCAATTGGAAGAATGCGATTATGGCAACATGAAACAAGCTTCCTGGGTGGAACTTACCCACACCACGATGTGCTTGGTCTCCCCAGCTGAGCACCACAAGCATGAGCACACCAAAGCTGCAACGTGCGAGAGGTGGTGAGAGCAATGTGATGGTGAGAGCAACGCAATGGTGACATGCATATGACAACTCTATTGTGTGAATCCAAATAACCTGTTGAAGATTTTAGTGGTGTTCCATGACATGCTTGTTCCAGGTGCAAGTTTGATGCATAAGCCAATATCGACATGACATGTGACAGGTTACTGCCACTCTTTTAATTCGTGGGAGTCTTGTTTATTTGAGCCAACTCCCAGAGTCTTCTGGCTCACATAGCACAATCTCTATATGGCTCTTTGCTCACCTGTAGACATCGCTGGCTGTGGTGGCCTTGGAAGTCCGGTTGTAAGCTGGATCCATATAGCCCGGTGTTCCCATGATTCGAGTCGTGCCCACTGTCGTGCCCTCTTCCACCCTCACCAGCCCAAAATCTGCAATCTTGGGCTGATGGGTGGTTGGATAAATGTGATATTAAGAATGCACCAGCACAAAACAAAGAAACAACAATGGTGACAAAACAAACGACATACGCTGGTTGCATCCAGACACAAGAAACATGAACGTGTAAGTGAGCGGGAGCCATATGCAGAACTAGATTAAAAGCGAGACTAGATGAGCCAAACTAGAACAACCAATTATTTTGGCATAGCTCTGCCTTTTCCTATCAATTCCCGTGGCTAGTTGCTTTCCACACAAGCATCTTGTTATGCAGTGTGAGATGCTGCAGCCGCACTTGCCTGCATGTCGCTGGTGATGAGGATGTTGGCGGGTTTGATGTCGCGATGCACAATGCCAAAGCTATGGAGGTACTCAAAGCCACGTGCAACACCAATGAGGATGTCTAGCCGTTGCTTCAGACTCAGAGAAAAAGGTGCATCTACAACAATCCACAGGATGAGTTTCACGACAAGCATCACCAGGCAGCATGAGTGGCCTACCACGAGTAACATTGTACTAGGGAATGCGACACAACAACTTGCACACTTACTTGGTCCCATCCACTTATGGAGGTCACCATTGGGCACAAACTCGTAGATGAGGACTTGCTCTATCTGAGACCTGACGTCCCCTCCCACCGCAAACCCAAGCAGTCGCACAATGTTGGGATGGTTCTTGTCGGCCATTTGCATGACCTGGAGGAAGTGAGAACCGGCACACGGGAACAGGAGGAAGGCGGCAGGAAAGAAAGAGTAGGTTGAGAAGAGAAGGAAAAACAGTGATTCTGCTCGCTCAGATTAGGGAAGCTGAATAGTCCTGATCAAAATAGATAGCACATTCTTAGATGAAGCGTCTTTCTGTTTGAAAGTAATGGAAAACCGAATTGTCTTATCCCCATGTTGACTGACGGAGTCTGTAGTCCAGCCATCTCCCCATATGCGGCACTCACCTCCCCCTGGAATTCCGCGCCCATGAGCTTGGTGCGCCTCACAGCCTAGGGTGTGGTGCCATCACGGGGAGAGACGCCCTTGTAGACATCACCAAAGGCACCCGAGCCAAGCAGGTTGTCGTCGGACCAGTCGTTGGTGGCCTTGAGCACCTCCTTTAGCGAGAACTCCAGGCTGGCCCCTGGGCATGGCGGTGGGGTCGGGGGCGAAGTGTGAGGAGGTAATGAGCGAGCCCTTGCCTTGTCCTGCCTTGTTATCGAGCACACACATACAAAATAAGTAGACAAAAGGAAGAGGAACCATGTTAACAAGGAACATTGAGGAGGAGGGGAGGTATGAGCTGAGCTGTGCACATCGAGCACCAGTCCTGCTCCTCCTACATTTTGAGATTTGCCGCTTCTGATGCTTGAAGCAGAGCAGCATGGCAGCCAGAAGCAGGAGGAGGACGACCACAGCAGCAACGGCAATGCCAATAATGGCTCCTACTGATACACCACCTCCACCTCCAGATGCTGCTGCTGCTGCTGTTGCTGCTGCTGCTGCTTGAGCACAACAAAAGCATGTCAGGTGAGCTAAGGGATACGAAGTCATCTGAGCAAAGAGAATGAACTGCCAATCACAACAGCACTAGTATGGCAGAAGTGGGGGCGATTCAAGTAAACCAGGCACAGCTTCATCGCCCCCACTAACCTGCTGTTTGCTGGCATGCAGAGCAGGTGGTGGCACAATCTTGGCAGAAGGCCGCCACTGGCGATAAGGTTTGGGTGCAGGTGGTGCTGTCAGCAGCAAGACAAGTGAGGCTGGTGTCAGATGTGTTGCTGCAGTGGAAGTGGGCAGATCGGCACAGGAGAGAATATGCTTGGGGCAACTTGTGTGCGGATGGTTGCATGCACAAGTCAAGAAATAGATTTAGATAGCTGTCAACTAGGCATGGCTAAACGAACCTTGGTTCGGTTTAGGCAAACCGGTTCGTGTGGAACCAAAGTAGAGTTATGTTTTCATCCTTTTTGGTTTGACAAGATCCCGTTAGGCCAATTTGACCAGTTCGATCTCTGCTCGGAGGGGCAACTTGAGTGCAAGTTCAAATTCAGGTAAGAAATGGGAATTGGAGCTCATTTTTAAGCTTTAAATCCTTGTTAGCTATCTCCTCGCCACTAAATGGGGCCATCGTCCGTCAAAGTGGACGTCCGGACCAAGCCTCGTTCACACCACAAAGTGGATGTCCTGTGAGTTTAAATACCACATTGATTTGCGGAGGTTGAGTTACAAGAAAACAACATAAACATTTCACAGATGCCCAAAACTTTATGCGCCAACCCAACAGCCATTGTGTTCGACAGTCCGGTTTTATTTGTTTTATTTGGTCGTGACAACTTCGCGATTTCGTCATGCGCCATGTCGGAATCTCCCTTCAGCCCTGCTCAGTACTGTCTCTCTCTGCTCCTCCTCTCATGCCTCTTCCTGCTGCCTTCTTTTTGCTGCTTCCACAACCCTCCTTCCTCACCCTTCCCTTCCTGCCCGCCCTTGCTCAATTGACTCCTTACCCCACTTTCTGCTTTCCCTTATTTCTGGCTGCCACTAATTCAACCCCCTTCACATTCGATTCCCCTCCTACCCCATTCGAGTGCTTGTTATGGCCCCGCCTTCTACTGTTTAGCTTCAAGAATATAGCACAGTAAGAAACGGAAACATACAAGCAATGGCAGTCCCATGGCCCGCACGACCCTTGTCTACCTCATCCTATCCTAGGCTTGAAGAGGACACTCAACGAATGTCCCTTCCAGATCTAGGCTAGCAAGATTTTCTAACCACATCCAGCTGGTTACAGTGACTTCCAGCTTCGCACGGGCTCGGCGTTTGCAGAACAGAAAACACAAAAAATGCATGCACTCAAGCACCAATCATTCGCCACCCCCAATGTAACCCTTCCTCACAGTCCTATTACCGCCCGGCTGCCACACTTGCACTTTGCCACCCTCTCCTGTCAGGTTGCCCCTTTCCGAAACCCAACCGCCGGGCTTGGCCCATCCGCCCTCTCTCCTTAGATGCGTCTTGCTTATGTACAAATGTACACCACTCCAACGTACACCACTACACTTCCCTCTGTCATATAACTCTGGTTATTAACCATAGTTTTCTGACAGCCAAATTTTGGCTATTAAGTCATGGATGGCACAGAACACGAGCGGCAGGAGCCTCCTCGCAGCAGGGGCCGCACGCACGCTGGAGGAGTTGTGCTATGAGGCCGATGACGATGGGTTTTGAGATCTGGACCCGCGACTAGACACCTTCTAGTAATGTTGGCGCCGGCATCAGCAATGAGAAATCAGTGGGAAACTCCTCGAATGCGGCGATAGTGTAAGAATCGGATTCCACTCATTCCAATACTGCGAATATAATAGCGGAACGCTACGGATTACTTAAGGGGAGAGGTGGCCGCGAAGATAACAGCGGCGGATGAGGCGATATGCATGTACCACGCTGCACTGCACATACATGATGGGCACGTCGAGCACCCGTTCGTTTGCCACATGGTGCCGACAATCGTTGTAGTGGGGAGCCTTTACTTGCCACCAAAGGCGTTGTGTTGGAAATGCATCTCTGCAGAAGCGTCGCAAGTGGATCGGGTCTGCATTGTCGCCAGTGGAGGCTAAGTTGGAATACACGCTGTTTGCATATGATACGCTAGCGTATAAACGCTGAATGTTTCTTGTGAGAGGTCCGTTACGCAGTGAATACGCGGGCACATAAGAAGTGAGGAATGCCAGACAGCAGTGATGTGCACACGGCATGCAGAACAGCTACGCAGCTTACAGGTAGTCCAATTGAGCAAGACTCCCAAGTGTGGCTGGAATGATCCCGGAAAATTCATTTTGGTGCACATCCCTGTACAGAAGAGCAGGACATCTAGAGGAGTAGCTGAATAGACAAGAAAGTTTAAAATTGGGTAGCACATATAAGTTTTTCTAAAGCAACGAATGCGTGAATTCCATCAAGACGAGCCAGATCGTTGGTTTAGACGGTAGGAAAGATGCAGTGGCTGGAACTTATAAGGATTGATTGGTTTGAAATTGCAATAGCAAAATGACCAAATGCAGAGGAATGAATGAAATTGTTGAGGTTGAGAATCAGTAATCGTAGTTTTGAGTTCTGCTAATTCAGGGATTTGAGTTCTGCCAATTCAAGGATTTGAGTTCTGCCAATTCAGGAGTTGAGTTCTGCCAATTCAGGGATTTGAGTTCTGCCAATTCAGGAACAAAAGCATGAATTTGAAGTACAACAGCAAGGAGGAACATGGAGTCGCAAAGCGATGCAACGTGCAGAGGAGGGGAGGAGTGGGCATGCAGAGTGCATAGGCAGTGGTGGGGTGTCAGCAGCGATGCGCACGGGGCATGCAGCACCCAGTGGACAGAGCAGCACGCAGGTGGAGCAAACCCAGTGCGCGGCTTACAGTGTCACGAGATATAAGAGTTTGGAGATGCTGTTGGGAATGGAGCCGGTGAGGGAGTTAGAGCTCAGATCCCTGTGTGGGTGAGGGAGTTGGATGTGGTGAGGCGAGAGGCTCAGAAGCCTGTCCACAAAGGGTGGCAGGGACTTAAAATGATTGATCACTTAAGGGCTATTGCAAGGCAAGCGGGTGCACAGGAATGACAGAGATTGCAAAGATTGACTCTGTAGTTGCAGATTTGAGTTCTGCAGGTGGAGCACGCAGGTGGAGCAAACCCAGTGCACCTCTTACAAAGATGCGAGTGCCGTGAGCGCAGAGATGCTGTCGGGAATGGAGCCCACGAGCGAGTTGGAGCTGAGATCACTGTGTAGGGTTGAGTGAGTTGGACGTGATGAGACGAGAGGCTCGTAAAATACAGTCCGTTATTTACGATCATATAAAAAAATTCAGCTGTTCTTTTGCTTGAGAACCCAGCTCACAAATGAAGAAGGAAAGAAAAAATGGTTGAATACTTTCACAATCATGGCCACGAAGGGCAACATGCAAGGAAGGGCTAACAACTATGTGCAGAACTTGATGAATTAGTACCCAGCCTCCCTTCGTCCTGCTTAGTTATGGTCCCATGGTTTGGTGCCCCGCTAGTTTGATAACGACCGTCTAAAACGGCGTTTCTTTAGAACCAAAGACCTCTTGGAACCTTAGTAAAGCATTTTTAACGAGTTATTACATGCGTGCAAGTTACTTAATTACGCTTGACTAATAGTAGTCCAGGGCGATCGACAAAAGCAGATATAAAACGTTAGTTGATTGCTAGACTAGATCTACATAGATAGATTTACATAGTTGGCCTCTAATTGGTTGCATAATGGCCGTGCACGATCTAAAACGCTAGATCTAGTAGGCTGGCGGGTTGTACTGAAATGATCCGCCAGATCTAGAAATGTTGATTCTTCACACCCACTGCTGCGGGGATCAGGACATAAGAAGTATCAAATTAATCGCGAGTACAATCTGTACTCGCGAGATCACAATTACTCAATGAAAACACGAGTAAAAGGCGAGTATTTTTTACTCGAGAGCATTACTCGCTTCGCCTCGGACGAGAAAAAAATGCGATTTGCCCTACTCGTTACTCGCCTAAAACGAGTAATAAAAACGAGTCGAGTTTTTTACTCGCCTCGTTGCCCTTGTCTTACCAAAAGGTCGATGCAGCATGGACGATTGAGGAGTGACAAACTGATGCAGACAGCAGAGGGGGGGAGGAGTGGGCATGCAGAGTTTTTTGTTTGTT